TAAAATTTAAAAAAAAAAAAAAAAAAAAAAAAAAAAAAAAAAAAAAATCACATTTATTAGATGATGCATCTGACACTTAATAGTCGGACCCAACACTCAGCCAGATCAATGCTTGATTTAATCTAAAACTTCAATAGCCAAACCATCTAAAACCATGCAGAGAATCTGTTTGATAACAGGCTCCAGACCATCATTAAACCTTTTTGACATTTTCAGAAATCACCGCTCAACTGCTAGAAATATTTTCTACATACCCGCCACCCCCGCCCCCCTCTCTCCTCTTCCTCACACCACCACCCACTGCCCAATCACTTTGCCACCCACAATCCCAAATTTCAATCAAAATCCAATTCAGAAAAAGCATCTATGTAAGCCATGGCTTTTTGAGTGATGCTTTTAGTGAGAATAGTAGGGGGTGAGAGTTGACCATCCCCAAATACCACCCGACACATCCAATGATGCAATCAGGCATGAGGATTTGATTGTTGTTGGTGGCGATCAAAGCTCTGACCAAGTCGTTGAACAAATGTCAGTCAGTGCAGCAAGCTGTGGATGGAGGGATAGTTTTTGCAGCCATTTCCCAAGAAATCAGTACTCATCTTCACTCTCTAGACTCTCTCTGAGCTTTTTGTTGGTGTGGGTGGGGAAGTTATGGTGGTAGAAAGTGAGACTACTTACAAGGGATATATATATATCATATATGGGTCTAGCAGAGGAAGATGAGGGTATTTGGGTAAATTTATTACAGGTGTCCTTAATGAATGTTAACGGTACACTTTGGTCCACAAACCACAATAAGTGATTTGCTTATTTCCAAATGACAAGAGCGATCAGGAAACCGTGTCTAAGCTCCATGGCTAATCTGCACCATACGCACATGGATCAAACTACAAGAGGGTAGAGTGAAATTTGCCCCATTTTTTGTAATGTGTCATGTGTCCAAGCAATGGACATGTGTGTTCCTCAAGTGACCAAAGTATGTCCAGGCCTAAATGAATTTAAAAAATAACAGGACATGTGTAGACATGTGTCGGGAAGTGTCTAATGAGCGTAGGTGCCCAACATGTGTCCAACACGGACACACCACCTTAAAAGTCTCCACGCTTCTTAGCTTAAGATCAAATGGGTATTGTTACCATAAGTGACGCAGAAACATAAAACATTATGCGAAACAGAAATGAGAAATGCCAGAATACAAATAGAAACAAAAAGCAATAATTATACAAGTTAAAATGGAAATTCATAGAAGAATTTCAATAAAAAATAGAGAATGCTAGAGAAAAGCAGGTGGTAATCTTTAAGCATAAATAAACAATTGTGTAAGGAATTATGTATTTATTAGTTACTACTAAACAATGGCTTTAAGAGAATAAAAAAAGAAAAAAAAGAATTAACAGAAAATGTCTTCCATTAGTTTCCCCAATATCCCAAGTGATTCTAAAAAAAACCCTAGATTCCCAAGAGTTTCTTGCTTGCTTAATTTATAAATAAATTGAGAGAGAAGGAAGGTTTAGAAAACATTTGTGAAACCATTTTCAGTGGTTTCCCCTAATTTTTCTAAAAAATTTCATTCCCGACTAAAGAAAAAAGATTTCCCCCATTAAAATAAGTTTTGGAGCAAGTACAATTTACCAAAGCAAGCTCAAAATGTGGATATAGGTTTGTAAACATACCATGAGTTTAGCAATAGCATCAGCTAGGCGGTCATGAAGAACAGCTACTAATTCAACGAGAGCCTCGCTGGAAGCAGGAACATATCTGACAACCAAATCTGTGGCCGAGACGGCATTCTTTGTCTCATGAGTACTCAGCATATCCCAACAGTGAGCTATCTCATGATGCAAAATAGGAACGGCAACTTTTTCCACCAGTTGAGGAACAAGGTTAGCATCAGCATCATCAGGGCTGATGTCATTTTCATCCTCAATACCATAGTTGTAAAGCAGCAAATGCCTGAACATTGCGAAATGTACAGAGACTAGTTATCAAAGGACCAAAAGGAAACCAGAAGCAACATATATTTGGTTTCCACGGACTCTTCTAAATGTATGAAGAGTCAAGCATGACCGTCAGGCAAGGTTATGGGAAATGTCCCTCACATGTCCATAATACTACAAAAACTCATTTATTATGTGACATAATTGCTTCAAAATAAGTAGGTGTATGCTTTGATGCTCTACATTACATTTAAAAAAAAAAAAAAAAAAAAAAAAAAAAAAAAAAAAAAATCACATTTATTAGATGATGCATCTGACACTTAATAGTCGGACCCAACACTCAGCCAGATCAATGCTTGATTTAATCTAAAACTTCAATAGCCAAACCATCTAAAACCATGCAGAGAATCTGTTTGATAACAGGCTCCAGACCATCATTAAACCTTTTTGACATTTTCAGAAATCACCGCTCAACTGCTAGAAATATTTTCTACATGCTTAAGAAACTTGAGCAAAGGCTACATACCAGTTCATGTTAATAAAATCTATATCTTCATGAAGTGGGTCCCACTTTAGAAGTTCCAATCTTACATATGGAGAGAAGATAGCAGGAACACTAAGTGACATATAAGCATCGCGGTAGCTTAATGGATAATCCTTCTTCCATCTTTCAAACTTTTCCATAACCACTGAAAGTTGAGAATATTCCTCAGCTGCATCACTGAAAACCTGTTCAGCAGTCTGAAGCAACAAATCACGGTTTGACTGGTACGCAGCAGTCTCACTATCGCTCTCATCAGTGCTTGATTCTCCTTCTATTCGCTGAAAGGGAACATCACTTTCCATGGATGATCGTCTCTTATCATCTGATCGAGCTTTCCTTCTTCGTCGTCCATCAGCCCTTCGTGTCATATCCATTCGTTTCTGTAGGTTTATATCTCTACCAAATTCATCTAGCTTCACAGGAAGATTTCTTTGTTCTTTTGTGGTGGCAGATGCGACCTGAGCTGCACTTGTGGCCCTTTCAATCATTGTGGCACTGCCGCCACCTTTACCGAATATTGACATTGCTGCATTTACAGCTGCTTCTATTTCAATCATTTCATCTTCATTATCAGCAGCTCTTCTTTCTGAGATTGCTGCTGCGCGTTCTTCGTTAAGTTTCTGCATCTGCTCTTCAAGTTCCTCTATTAAATGAGCTTTATGCTGCAAGAATAAAACTACCAATTGATTAGAAAAGGTCATGAAGCAAGACCCCTTCAAGGGCTTTGCAAAAGCATTTAAAGAAGAAGAAACTGCAACTATTACAGCAAGAAAATCAAAACACTAGAAACAGGCTTTAAAAGCATGTCAACTGTCAGCACTTACAAATGCTTCATATGGCAAGCCAAAGAAGTGACACATGAACCAATCATTGGTTAGCCTAATTAATGCACTCTATGACTTAGACTCAAGCCATGGCACCAAGGGACTATGCTTGGGAACTACTCAGCTAAGGTGACGATCTTCACTTGAGCAAGGGCACTCTAAGGCATTTCCAAGGCGTGGTCGCTCAATACCCCCCGGTTGATGCAATGATTCTCTGCTCAGTAGTTGCATGTTTAGCACCTTCCCGACTCAACCGATTGATTCTCCTCCAAGGCATGACCTGTTGAAGCATGTGTGAAGGAAAGAGTCCCACATCGAATAAAGAGTATAAATAAGTGGGTCTTAATATACGTTGGATGGCCTCTCCACTTACATGCTTAAACTTTTAAGTGAGTATGAGTTCAAAACAATGAGCACCCTCTCCCCCAGGGCATGACCCCCCAATACATTTGTACCTCTCCAAAGAATGTCTCTCGAGGAGGTGTCAAACATGCTTACTTTCCAGACAAGCATGCCATCTCCACATGAAACATGATTTGGCCCTCTTTTGGTTTGGTTGATTAGAATCCTCCACTCTGAGTTCTCCAAAAAAGGTACCTATCGCTAATATGGCTGCTTTGGTTGTGAGCAGGGCCTAAGGACCCTGCCAGGATTGGTGTCACAGCATGGGCATCCAAGTGACTCCATGACCCATTTGCAGGATGACCAGGCACTTGTGGATTGACAGCTAGAGATGAGAATATGTTAAAATGGTTCATCTCACCCTCCCTCAAGGTAGGCTCCACTTTGACTAGTCCTAGTCAAGAGAGATAGGTCTCCACATGGGGTGAACTTAGAGCCATGATGGCATAAACTTTCTCGTACATAGTGAGCACGCCTAACATGCACGACATCTTTATCAATATTACTTACTGCATTTGTTTGGGGACATGCATGGGATCTCATATCCTCATATCCTCCAACCCACCTATAAATGAGAAGGCTATTCCCTCCACAAATCACTATCAACATAATCATTTCCATCTCTCTCTCGCCTAACATGCACGACACCTTTATCAATATTACATACTGCATTTGTTTGCGGACATGCATGGGATCTCATATCCTCAACTCCTCCAACCCACCTATAAATGAGAAGGCTATTCCCTCCACAAAATGGCATAAACTTTCTCGTACATAGTGAGCACGCCTAACATGCACGACATCTTTATCAATATTACTTACTGCATTTGTTTGGGGACATGCATGGGTGCATGGGATCTCATATCCTCCAACCCACCTATAAATGAGAAGGCTATCCCCTCCACAAATCACTATCAACATCTCTCTCTCTCTCTCTCCCTCCCTCTCTCATATCCTCATATCCTCCAGCCCACCCACCTATAAATGAGAAGGCTATTCCCTCCACAAACCACTCTCTCTCTCTCTCTCTCATATCCTCCAACGCACCCACCTATAAATGAGAAGGCTATTCCCTCCACAAATCACCATCAACATCTCTCTCTCTCTCTCTCATTTGTCCACTCACCAACGATCATCCACTGAACACATGATTTTACTGTTCTGAATTCTACATGACTTTAGGTCAAAATTGAAAAAACCTTGATGAAGTGTCACATCAGCTAAATAACAATGAAATCCTTCATTGGTAAAATTGGAAGCTAACTATCTCTGTTACCAGAAAGGCAAACAACCTCCTACTTTTGAGGATAGTTACGAGACAAAAAAAATTGTAAACCCACCTAACACCCATGTCAATCTCTTGGGTAAAACAGACATAACGTGAAATCAGCTTTAAATATATCAAAATCTCATCAACCAATTTTTCACTCCCACATGACTTACTCTCTAGAATATATTCTCTACATCAAGTAAATGAGAGTGGGAAAAAAAATGAGAGATGATCACACACATTTACTTTTCAAAAATATGTTCTCACACATTGAGTTTGCAATACTTCGGTTATTTCTAAAAATGAATTTAATTTTCATATACTTGTAAGAAACTACTGCCTATCAAACTTGCCCTACAAAGGGACTCGTGAATAGACATGAATGCTTTCTCTGTAATCAAAATTGATATCCAACATCACCATGAAAACTAATGCTGGCAATGTTTAATCCATGCCTATTAAAGCACTAAAAACTTTAATGCCAGAGATTACAGCAATTTTGTAAAAAAATTTGAACACTGGATTCATATTTGATAATGAAAGAAGTTGTTAACAGTACTCTAAAAGAGGAAAACAGAGAAGAAAAAAAAAATGAAAAGGAGACAAAAGAAGTCCCATCTCCACAAGGAGCCTTTTAAAAACCACATACAAATCAATGGAAGAGTTCCAAAAGTAATTCATCAATCAAGAAAAAGCATTCACTAAACTCCAATCTCGTTTACAACAATGCACACTTCCTTTCATAAATGCTAAAGGACCTCATTTATAAATGCCTCAAAAAACTAAAGACCCCACATAAACCTTCTAAAAATTAGCACATTCAATATCATAACTAGATAATTACTCAAATTCCATCAAAATAAAAGGTCCCTAAGAAACTACCAGATTGAATTGACACCTAAGACATTGAATCCAACTTCAATTAACTACTATAACATATAAATCCTAATATAAATAAAAGTGCCTCTAGGAAGACAAAAACTTCTGAAATAAAGAGCCAGACATAACAGTTGCAATAATTGAAGATATATTAATTTTCTCATTGAGCAATCCTAACAAGGACCAAAGCTTATACATATATGTACTGGAAACAAATGCGACAAGTTAGTTCTGTGAAAACGACTTCCCTTCTTGTTAGCCCTGCTTGCAAAGTTTTAAAAAGCAGCCGCAACCGTTACGTAACGGTTGTGGTGGTTTCCGCCACCTATTACGGCCGCTTTTGCAGTGTGATTGAGATTCATAGGTGTATCGGCCGTAGCGGCTGCCGTAGCGGTCGTAACAGTGCCGTAACAACCGTAACAGTTCCGAACTGCTTCTTTTGAAAAAAAACACAAAAAAAAAGCTGAAAATGTGGGAAGAGGGATAGAGAGAAGACGGAAGATAAAGAGAGAACATAGATGAGCAAGAGATAGAGAGAGAGAGAAGAGAGAATATGAAGAACATGTTATTGATTTGTTGAAACTGTAAGACCTATGCTATTCTATTCAGCTGCTATCACTTAACCATTTTGTTTGTGTGTGTCTATCTATATATTATTTGAAAATAATAATAATCATAAGTGTGGTCATTATCTATTTGGCTTGGTTAAAATATATATATATATATATATTTAAGCTCTTACTTATTCTCTTACTTTTGTCATTATTTATCTTATATATAATAGTTAGTGATTGATTTTTTGTATAATATAAAGTCATTAATTATTAAAATAAAATGTAAAAAACTCAGTTTATAGTGATTTAAAAATATGAAATATATTGGATCATACTTAAAAATTTACAAAAATTAATCAATATTTATTTTAAACCCAATAAACATGATCATGGAAAAAAAAATATACGTATCAGTAAGATTTTTTCAAATTGTACGAAAAATAAAAATATTCACGGTTCCGGTTACCGCAACCGTTACGCTACGGCCTTTACACCCCACAACCTTAACCGCGCCACCGCCACCGTTACGGTGACCGCAACCGCTTTTCAAAACCTTGCCTGCATGTATTTAAAAAGATAACCAGTACTAGAAAAAATAAAATAAAATGAAATGAAATAAAAAGACAGCTCTCCATTTGTTGGTAATTTATTGTCTTAAAAGAATCAAACTAGCTACAAAAGGAAGCAACTCATAAATTAGATTTTTTCGTACCTGCAAAAAGTCACATATAACAGAAACAAAGTCACGAAGCTTTTGCATAAAGATGAACTTCTCACCAGCAGCAGATAGAGATTTCTCAAGAGAAGTGATATTCAACAGTGAGGAAGACAAATTTTCATCAGTCTTAGTCAATGATGCCATGGTTCTACCATGAGATTCCTGATAAATAATTAAAAAAAAAGATATTGGTGTGCAAAGTTAGTGTCAACCCATTATTTAAAATGCACACAATTCATTTTTGTATGTACCACCACTAATTGTCTCAAGGTGAAAAGACATGAGATAGATAAATAACAAAAATAGACATGGGATATACAAAACCAGAATCTAAAACCGTTGAATTTAAAGGCATCACTCCAAAAGAACATAACTTAGAAAACAGATGATCAAACAATATTTATCAAGAATAGAAAAGGTTGAAAAAAGTGAATCTCTTTGTTGAATTGATCCCTGCTGAATGAACTAACTGATGCAGACCATGAAAAGATCAAGAGAAAAGACTGGAAAAATTACAAATGAACTTACAATGGAAAGGTATAGGGGATAAGTTTAGTAACACTTGGTGAATAGGGAATCTAAATGCTGTCCCTTAAGCAAAGGGTTTGATGATAAAAAATTTAAGGCAATACCAAGCTGTTCTAGGAAGCTGACTCCAGAGCAGGTATTGGGCGTGTTTGGTCCAGCTTAATTTGAACAGATTATAATTTTTGGCTTCTAAAAAGCTACTACAGAGTGTTTGGTTAAGCTTAAGGCCAACAGCTTCAATTTCTATAAAAAAATTTCTTACATAAATTCGTCCAAAATCAAAAGCGGCTGGGAGCCGCTTCCGCAAGTGGATTATGCGAAGGAGGTGTTGAAATTACTTAAACGCCCTTCATTAATTTGAAGTATTACCAAATTGCCATTATATAAACCACAAAGATCACTATTCATTCTCTGAGAGAGAGAGAGAGAGAGTGTAGCGATTTCCAGCGCCAGAGGCGATTTTCAGCGTTATGAACCAAAGCTCTCTCTCTCTTTCTCTCTCTCTCTCTCCGGCATTGTTCTCTGGTTGTGCTATGAAACCCATCACAACCTGAAACCATCGCGATGCGAAACCCTAGCCTGACAATGGACGGCATGGTGATCAACGGCGTGACAATGCGAAACCCTAACCCTTCTTCTCCTCTCTGGCTTCGCGATCAACCCTAGTGCTCTCTCTCTCTCTCTCTCTCTCTCTCTCTCTCTTCACGATCAACCCTAGCTCTTTCCGTGTTCACTCCGGTTTTGCAAAGGGCTGCTGGCGGTGGGATGAGAAGAGGGAGAAGGAGAAGAAGGGGGCGATCGGCGGTGGCTAGGGTTTGGTATTTGTAATGAATTAATAAATCAAAAAAACTTAACAATTTTTATATTATTAATTGATTTAATTGTAATGAATTAATAATAAATTAAAATTATTAACAATTTTTATATTATTAATTTGTATTATAATGAAAAAAAAATAATCACAATTTTTAATTAATTGATATTGTGCATAATGAAAAAATAAACCACAATTTTTATATTAATTGGCATGTAATTAAAAAAAAATAAAGAAAATGAAATAGGTTAACATTTTTTATATCTAATAAGGGCAAAAAAGACATTACACAACAAAAAAACTATTTTACAACTTATCAAACAAACACTACTCAGTAACTTAAATTTATAATCTAACAGTTATACCAAACAGGTTAACAACTTCTGATTAAATCTATAATATATAATTTATTAAGTTATAAGCTATAATCTATTTTAACAGCCGCACCAAATGCCCCCATTATATGGAGGGACAGGTAGATGGAATTTTTTTATGTGACAGCACAAACTGGATGACAAGGGAGGTGAGGGGTTTTAAATGGCTGAGTTTATGAAAAGATTAAGAAAGCCAGAGCCACGGAAAGAATTTCTCTAGATACATTGGCTTTATAGTGGGCAAAATGGCATTATCTATGACCATTCATCTAGAGTCGACCATGTTGCATAGCTTCTTTTTCTTTTTTTTTCTTTTTTTCTTTTTTTTTTTTTTTTTTTTGACAAGTAAAACCCGAAGTTGTATGGCATAAAAAACAATGCCCGTACACATTCATGTGTATTTGGGAGGAGAAAGATAAGGAGAAAGATTGGGTACACACCTAACCTTTGGCATAGTACACAAAATGATTGCCCTGAGACTTAAACGCATAACCTCAAAGTTATCGGGTCAAGATTTTACCATTGAATGGCATAGCTTGATAAAATTCCATAACCAACCAAGTAGATTGATGTATGGGTTCAAGCCACTAGGTAACCCAATCCAACCCAAAGATCTGACCCCTCTATACATTTTGTTAAAAAAAAAATTATATACTATACAACATACTTGACGTCCTTCAAGTTATTGGTCAAAACACGCCTTAAGGTAATCCTCTATATAATTTGTAATACATTTAAATATTGTACTCTAAGAAGCTCGGACATGACACGGACACAAACATGCAAATTTTTAAAAAATGTAACACACGACATGTTGGGAACACATTCGAAACATATAATTTTATATATTTATTATATGTTATTTTTAAATATTTAAAATGTATATCAAATTTATCAACCTTAGATATGCTATTTTAGTTTAAAAAAATTAAATTTTGAAAAAAATTGCTCTCAGCTTGTCCTTAATGTGTCCCTAGCGTGTCCAGCGTGTTCAGCGTGTTCATGTCCGTGTCCGACATGTGTCAGACACCTATACGTGACCTCCAAAGAGGTGTGCCCGTGTTTCATATATTGTACTAATATACTTGACATTCCTTCAAGTTATTGGTCCAAAACATGTCTTAAGGTAGACTATACAGCTATCAGATCTTTATACAATACTAACACATAGCCTGAGCTACAAGTTTAACTTGAACCAATGTAGTGTTTCTTGATTAATTTGGTTTGGTTATACTAATTACTTGGTTCAGTTCCAAGTCCAAAAAAATAGAAACTGACCAAGGTCCATTTAGTTTTGGGTTTGGCACTACCCCTAAGAGCAAGCATGTGCCTATAGAGATTACGCTAGTTTCATAGAGACCATGATGGAATAGTAACCAATACTATGGGCTAACATAGAGCTAGATTTGCAAGTTTACCCGAACCAAAAGGTTTCCCAATCTAGTTTGGTATGGTTCTACCATTTACTCAATTCAGTTCCAAGTCCAAAAAATGGGAGCCAACTCCATTTTGGTTTTGAATTTGACAGTAACTTGAACCGAACTAACCCACCCCACGCACACCCCTAAGAGCCAGTATGCTTCTATTATAGATTATCCCAGCTTTATAGAGACGGTGGGAACAAAAAATCATTGGAGCAATGCAAAAATGAGAGCTCAAGGCGTGAATCTGTGAAAGGTTGTATGGTACGTGCACCACTGTATACTGACCAAGATGGTTCGCTAACTTCGAAAGGTGATTGGATAGGAAGATTTGGAAAAAATTATTTCCACACACTTACTTATCTCAGTACACATCATTTCTCAATGCACACCCTTATAAATTTGATTAGGTGTTATTTGTCTCATTCCACACATCATATATTCCAATTCTAACCTTAACTCAAATATTGTACACAACTTACTACCCAAACTCACACAATCACTGATTCTGAATTCACCAATTCTGAATTCACTGATTCTGATCTCATTATTGATTCTGAATTCACCAGTTTGATCAATTCACTGATCTCATCACTAATTCTGAATTCTACCCTTTTTCTTCCATTTCCTTTATTGAATTAATAACTGTGATTAAATTCTGTTTATGGGTTTCGCTTTTCTAAGCCATGTATGTGTATGTGTATGTGTATGTGTATGTGTATGTGTAATGTATACACACATGGGTGTGTGCTTCATATGGTTGAACAATAATCCTAGTAAAGTAATTCCAGAAAACCTAACTGCTTTTCTTTATGGTTAATGTAATTGTTGCTGGCCTTGCTCTGAACATCATTCAAGTAAGGTATCTTCATGAAGAAAAAGAAGAAGAAGAGCGAAAGCAGAGAGACAAGGAAGAGGAAGAATGAAAATCGTGTAGAAGAGATTCGCAAGAAACAGGAAGAGAATAGGAACAATTTGTCTCACCGCAATCAACCAGAGAAATTGCAAGTAGAAGTGATTGTGGTTGACAATGAATAACGGAAGATTGACGATTCGAAGAAAAAGGATAAACTTAGGGTGGAGGAAAACCTAACCGGTGGTACAGAACATGGGTTGGAAAAGGAGAAGAATACTCCGATGGTTTTGACCGAAATAGACCGTAGAAAGGAGGGGGTTACGAGCGAGTTCTAGTGGAGTGGCAAATAATGGCGATGAATGGTATGGCTTGGGAGAAGAAAATTCTAGTGGATTGATCAGTTGAAATTGGGAAGAAATTGAATGATCTTTCACTAAGTGGTGGGAAATGAGGCAATGAGAGAGGAAGAAATGAGATGGGTTGGTTAGGGTTTTGATGTTTATTATGGTTATTTTATTTTAAAGTATAATCGTCATTAAAATAAAATTTTATCAAATGTGTTCATTGAGGTAAGTAAGTGTGTGGAAACAAAATTTCCCGAAGATTTGGGATGAGATCATACTATTAGGTGCTATGTGGCAAGAGAGTTGCAACTTCTCCCAGAAAGAGCATATGGAAAGTAAATGTGTGTTCAACCATTGGGGTTAGCCCAATGGCCATAACTTGTGTTCCTCACCCAGAGGTCGTACTCTCCCCTCCCCCTCCAATGAACCTAAAAAAAAAGAGTAAATGTGACATTTTAGGTTTCTTTTCTATTTGGATGGTAGCCTGAAAGCAATTCTAACTTCTACAAATTTGGAGATGAGAGGACAAATGCTTCTTAATTGACATTAAGAGCATATGGAGGGTAAATGGAAGGAAAAATTGACAATAACAATTAGGTTCCATGTGGCAAGAGGGTGGTAGCTTTTCCTAGAAGAGCATATGGAGGGGAAATGTGTCGTCCAAGGTTTTTTTCTATATGAACTGCAACCTTAGAGCAATTCTAACTATTAAAAAATGGGTTCTATTAAACTAACATGATAAGTGCACATTAGTTTGTAATGAAAGATTGTAAATTTTGTTTGTTTGTTTGTATACCACTACTCATTCCAGAACGAAAAACGGAATAGTGATGAAAGATGTACTCATAGGTGTCCTCGATGCACCCATTAGTATGAGATCTTAACAAACTGACTACACCCTAATTCCGAATTTTGCATCACAGCTTTAGCAATACCTCATATCACATATGTAACTATAAAGTACATTATGAAATACAATTTTAAGTCCAGTTTAGCCTGAAGAACGTGAAAACTCACCTTAAGCCTCCTCAGGTTATCGTGCAAGGCTTTCTTAGTAATCTCAGCCTGCTGTGATATTGGCATCACATCCAAACCGGGAAATCCTCCGACTGCTCCTCCAATGCTTGGAGCCACACTAGGGACTGAAGAAAATGAAGCTGGCGCAGGAGGGTATGTATAATTTTGTTGCGGAACACTCTGAACTACAGGCACACTATTATTCACTACTACTCTACTAGATGAATCATCCACTCTCTTCCCTAACCCTTTCCTAAATTGTTCTTCCTCCCAAATCTTGTCCTCCTCATCTTCATCATCACCACCATCAACTTCATTATCCTTCCTAAACCCACCATGTGGTGTTGTTGTTGCCTTCTCATCAACATCCTCAAACACACCTTTCTTCCCACCATCCACTTTCTCCCCAAAAAACCCAATTCTGCTTTGAAACTCCGGCTCCTCATCGCTCAATCCCTCCGCCTCCCCATGATTACTCCCTCCATCCAAGGCAATAAAATCCGGTGCCGCAGCCTTCGACTGCCTGAGCCGCTCCCTCTTCGCCCTAATCGCATTTATAGTCGCTTGATCGGGAATCAACGACCCAGATGAATCCCTACCTTTCCCTAACCCAATCGAACCCAATCGCGCCGTCGCATCATCTCTCTCCCTCCCAAAATTACCCCTTTTCTCAATTCCTTCTTCATCATCATCCAATTCATCAATTTCTTTTAGAATTCCGCCAATTGGGGCCTTTGGGTCAGCGTTGATTGAAGGCTTGACGAGGCCTTTCAAGACAATGACGGGTTCGGAGGAGGGATTGGGGCGAGAGCTCGCTAGGGTTTTGGTGTTCTTCTGGAGCTCAAGGAGGGCTTCTTTGGTATAAGTACCAGCTTGAGGCTGGACATTGGAGAGGAGAGAGGAAGAGGAAGGTGTGAGGCGGTCCTTGGAAGTGGTGATCTTGTGAGACGAAGAAGAAGAGGAGGGTTTGTTGAAGCGAGAAGAGGAAGATGAGGATTTGGAGGAAGGACGAGAGACTGGTGAGTCGGTTTCTTCGTCGTCGGCGAAACTCAGGAGCTTTTTCGGGGCTTGATGGGTTGGTTTCTTGGCGGTGGCGGAGATGGACTTTGATGGGGGTTTGGGTTTGGTGGCTGCGGCGGCGGTGCCATTGACGCCGCCGTCGTTGTCATCGTCGTCTTCGTCGTCGGCTCGGCGGCGGAAGTTTCTGGCTCGGCTGCTCATGGGGTGGCCGTGATGGTGAGAGTTGAGAGACTTGACGGCTCGTCGAGCCACTGATGCTTTGTAAGTTTGTATTCAACAATGGAAGTCGAAAGGAGATAGTCCTGTAGAAATCTCTGTGGGCTTGGTCCACTGCCTCTGCCAGTGCCCAATTGGGCCTTTTCACACTGTCTTGTTTTTAGACTTTATGGGCCAGTCTTATGAACCGGATTTAATTCCGGGCAAATTCTAATCCAAATTAATAGGCTTGCGCTTTTAGTTGTTTCCTCACAACCCATTTTACCAACTCACAATTTTCAACTCATACCGATATTCATAACAAACTTGTTACCTTGTCAACAATTCTCAACAGCAAAAGTTAATTTTTTTATGAAAATTCAAACCCTTTTCCAATGGCAAAGCCACCATAGCAGCAGAACATTATAGATTGAAATAATAGTTTTGAGTCATATCCAGGGCGGAGCCAAAAGAGGTGCAAGGAGGTAACGTGTCTTTCTCAATTTTAAATTTTTTTTTGTTTTTGTTTTGTGGTGATATATAAAATGTTTTTTTTTTTAACATATTGTTTAGCTAAGAATTTATTGTATTGTTCACAATAAATAGAGCACTATGTTGTATGGTTTATATAGTAGTCTAAACCAATAATGTAGTGGGGAAATCTTATGGATTGAATATAATTAACTCATTATTTTCAAGTAGTTTATAAATTATTTACTGTAATTTGTGATTTCTCTCATACTTTGAGCATCACATAGGCAATGTTATGTGGTACTCTAAGACTATTTTATAATTTCCATTCAAAATACATCATTTAGAGCATCTCCAACCACACTCTTTATTTTTCACTAGCTAAAGTATAAAAAAATGACACTCTTTATTTTACCTAATTAGTTTAACTATTGTGTGTTTCAACCATACTCTTTATTTTAGCTAGTCATTCAAACTAATTTAACCAATTTTCAAAACAAAAAATGCCACATATATATATATATATATATATATATTCTTATGGATTGAATATAATTAACTCATTATTTTCAAGTAGTTTATAAATTATTTACTGTAATTTGTGATTTTTCTCATACTTTGAGCATCACATAGGCAATGTTATGTGGTACTCTAAGACTATTTTATAATTTCCATTCAAAATACATCATTTTATAAGCAATATCATCTCTTTAATATTTCTGTCAAATAAAAATTAAAAAAACTTTATAATAATTTGTGCTATAAATGATGTGTTTTTATTTTCTAAAATTAGGAATTTTGATCCATAATTTTTTGTGTTAAAATTAAAAACTTACATCACCATCCTGTACCGACGAGCTATTACACACTATTATAGAATTTTGATTTGTTCCTGTTAATAATGATTTTTAATTTCTTATGCTTAAATTTAGCACATAAAATTATTATTATCTTAATGTTGATCATGATTTTTTTTTTAAATAAAAAATTATAATTAATAAGTATTCCCTTTAACTTATTTTTCTGGCTTCCCCCTTGCTCATATCAATCCCGTACAAGCGTATTGTTGTCCAAATTGTGAAATTAAATAAATAGATTTATGAAAAAAAAAAATCAAAATTATATACCAAGAACATATGCTGATAATTACAACTAAATTACAACAGAAATACACAATACAATAAAATGGTAGCAGTTTCCTTAAAACAGATTTCTTCGCCTCACGTGTCGAGTGCTTGAGGAATCCCGGCGTTTGTCTCCCAAGATACGACGGTCAAAAACCAGCTACGGCAGAAGCACTTTCTGTATAGCTTAGCGAACAAAAAACTGTGGCAACACTCTATTACTGTAGAAACTTTCTGGCAAACTGACTTGTAAAATGGAAGCAAAAATTTCTATATTGAGACTTGACAGGAGGGTCTCAATTTATACATGTATAGGGGAGAGAAGAAGAGCATCTAGCCTTTAAGGCTGGTCATTAAAACACCATTAACCAGCATGCATAGCCCCTTTTCAAAAAGTTGAAAAGTTTGGATGCCCAAAGGATTCACACTCTTTAGCTAAGAAAAAGGATTTTAATACCCTTTAAAATCTCATTCATGAATTTAACATCATGAGACAATTTTTTATTCAAATCTCAATAGTTTTTGGCCCACTTGGACCCAACACAATAGATGGTTGGGACCTACTTTAATATTTAATTAAAGTTACCACACTTTAATATTAAATTAAAGTCACCAAAAAACTATTTTTTCCAACTATCCTCCATATGAATAAAAATTGACCAAATGACTCAACAAACGGACACCGTTCAACAATAATGACTCGGAGAAAGAGTACAACAAACTAACCCCGACATTAAAGAATGTAGCTTTTGGCTTTGAACCTCTCCTAGTGAAAACCTATCGAGTTTACCGGCTGATCAGTGAATATACATCTTGAACTGCTCTGTCGTTTATGTAAACTGAGACAATAGATCTCACACAGGAATTACTCCTACCACCATTCTGTTCTCACTGGTGTGCCCTATATGGCCCTGGGCACTAGCCTGGTTCAGCGAGTGGTTTCAAAGAATCTTGGCCTGTCCAATAAGCTCAATAACTTAACACACTAGAGTCATTAAAAGCTCAGCTTAACCTCTACACTTGCAGGTATCACTGATAAAAAGAATGGTTGGAGGTTTAACCTCCTCAGTGACATACCACCGTTACACGCAATTAGGTTGTCACATTGAACCTAGATCTTGGGATCTCCAGTCAACTAGGTTGGGTTTCCATTCCAGTAACTTCAAAAGGCCTCAACCCCATTCTTTTTTACGACGTTTCGACTAACACTCGATTTAACCCTTTGGTTAGCGGATCCGCAATGTTATCCTTAGACTTTACATAGTCTATAGAGACAACTCCATTCGAGAGTAGTTGTCATATGGAATTATGCCTATGATGGATATGTCTAGACTTTCCATTATATATATTACTTTGTGCCCTATCAATTGCAGATTGACTATCACAATGAATATAAATAGTTGGCATAGGTTTAGACCAACGCGGAATATCTTTAATGAAATTGCGAAGCCATTCACTTCTTCCATTGATTTATCTAAAGTAATAAACTCTGATTCCATCGTTGATCTAGATATACACGTTTGCTTGGAAGATTTCCAAGACACAGCTACCCCACCAAGAGTGAACACATATCCACTAGTGGACTTTGAGTCCTTTATATCTGATATCCAATTCGCGTCACTATAGCCTTCTAGCACTGCTGGATATCGAGTATAATGAAACCATAATCCCGAGTGTAGCGTAAATACCTTAACACCCGCACAATGCCCTTCCAATAAGAAACATCGGGATTACTTGTGTATCTACTAAGCCTGCTAACCGAGTAGACCTAGTACAACTCATCAGATACATTAAACTTCCAAGTACCTGAGAATATTCTAACTGAAAGACACTCTCTTTATTATTCTTGGTAAAATGTAAACTTAAGTCTACAGGTGTCGATGACACACTCGTATCTAATTCACTATACTTCTCAAGTATCTTATCAACATAATGAGACTGAGAAAGTACAATTCCGCCAGATGTTCTGGTAATCTTAATTCCCAGAATAACATCTGCAATGCCCATATCCTTTATGTCAAACTTAGAGTTTAACAACTTCTTGGTAGTTTTGATCATTTCATCATTACTACCTATAATGAGCATATCATCAACATATAGACACAAAATGACATAACCTTTGTTAGTATCTTTGACATAAGCACACTTGTCACATTCGTTGATTCTAAACCCACTTGACAACATTACATTGTTAAACTTCTCATGCCATTGTTTGGGCGCTTGCTTCAAACCATACAACGATTTGACAAGTTTACAGACTTTCTTGCGTTGCCCTGGAGCTGAAAACTCTTCAGGTTGCTCCATGTAGATTTCTTCATTCAAATCCCCATTTAAGAAAGCTGTCTTTACATCCATCTGGTGTATCTCTAGATTGCGCAAAGCTGCTATCGCAATTACCATACGAATGGATGTTATCCTAGTTACAGGTGAGTACGTATCAAAGTAATCCAGGCGTTCTCATTGCCTGTACCCTTTAATAACGAGCCTCGCCTTATACTTGTCAATTGACCCATCGGCCTTCATCTTTCTTTTAAAAATCCATTTGTAGCATAAAAGGCTTACAAACTAAAGGTAAATCTACCAACTCTCAGGTGTGGTTCTGTAAGATAGAGTCAATCTCACTTTTGATCGCTTCTTTCCATAAAGGACTCTTAGGAGAAGTCATAGCTTCGTGAAAAGTTTGAGGTTCGTTCTCAACCATGTAAGTCAAGAAGTCTAGACCAAAAGATTTGGACATCCTAGCCCTTTTACTCCTTCTAGGCTCATCTAAAACCTCAATTTGATCATCACCTTGATCATCAACATGATTATCATCACTAGCAAGCTCATCAAATTGCTCCAAAGACCTCGGAACCCCTTTATGGATTCGGCAAGGAAAAATGTCTTCAAAGAAACATGCATTCCTTGACTCCATGATGGTATTCCTGTGTATGTCTGGAATTTTAGACTTATGTACAAGAAACCGATATGCACTACTATTATGTGCATAACCAATGAATATACAATCCACGGATTTTGGGCCTATCCTAACCCGTTTGGGTGTAGGAATCGCCACTTTTGCAAGACACCCTCACATTCGTAAGAATTTATACGAAGGCTTAACACCTTTCCATAACTCATATGGTCTGGGCTCATCTAAAACCTCAATTTGATCATCACTTTGATCTTGATCAGCAAAATGATCATTATCACTAGCAAGCTCATCAAATTGCTCCAAAGACCTCGGAACCCTTTCATGGGTTCGGCAAGGAAAAATGTCTTCAAAGAAACATGCATTCCTTGACTCCATGATGGTATTCCTGTGTATGTCTGGAATTTCAGACTTATGTACAAGAAACCGATATGCACTATTATTATGTGCATAACCAATGAATATACAATCCACGGATTTCGAGCCTATTTTAACCCGTTTGGGTGTAGGAATTGCCACTTTTACAAGACACCCCCATATTCCTAAGAAATTATACGAAGGCTTAACGCTTTTCCATAACTCATACG